ATTGAAATTGAGAAATTTTTTGTTTTTTTGTTTTTTTTTTTTTTTTTTTTTGTAGAGAATATCATGTGAACTTATACCTCAATTTCAATTTGTCACCTTAAAGAAAAATTTAAGAAAAATGTCATTTTAATTTTTCAAAATCCATGATTTGTCATCTCACTTTAACACCAACCAATTTTCCATCTATTTTTAAGGATATTTTAGTATTTCCATTTTCAAGGAAAAAAAGAGAGAAAAAAGAGATCTCTCTCTCCCTTTCTCCTCCACCCACACCCACACCCAAAATACATCGCACATGACCCCCCTCCTCCCTCTTCTCTCTCTCTGAGCATGTACAAATATTTTTATGGTGTTCATTGAGCATGTCTAAAATTTTCAGATACCTGATTTAAAACTACTTAAGTTTCCTACCCAAAATCCAACCACCTTTATTCTCTTCATAGTTTCATTAACTTACGCCACTCTATTTGTGTTGAAGGATCTAAAGTTTGCGTGGTCACCCACTGTGTTTTTTATTTATTTATAATGATTTTCCATTTTAAAAATACCCTTGAAAATGGAAAGACTAAAATACCCTTAAAAATTGATGGAAAATTGGAGGGTGTTAAAGTCATATGACAAATCATGGATTTTGAAAAATTAAGGTGACATTTCTCTTAAATTTTTCTTTAAGGTGACAAATTCAAACTGAGGTATAAGTTTAGGTAATATTTCTACGAAAATCTTGGCTAACAATGTTGAAAAAAATGCAAAAGGAAAGAGAACTGGACTTAGGCCCAAACCGACCAAACAAAATAGTCTTAAATTGGTTTTGTTTGGTTCAGCTTCTTTCATGATTTTTGACAAAATCAAACCGAATCAAGCCATTTTATTGTAATTAATTCGGCCGGTCCAATCTAGACCATGCCCACCCTTACCGCTGTGCCTTGTGACCCTTTTTGGTTGTCCACACATTTTAGTAAACCCTCAAATGGATCAAAGGGTGGCAATTTAAACAAGTGGTGCAACAAATATTGCCAAACCTTTCTTACCTCCACAAATTTATCTTTATCTTTTCTTGTTTTTAAAATCCTTTTCAACTTAATTAATTTTGAAAAAAATACTATAACTAATTTTGATTTTTTCTTTTTAAAAGTAGCATGTTCTTTGAGAGAAGCAAATATAGAGCCAATATGCACAACGTAATCTCATATTGAAATTACATTATTTATATTATTTATAAGATTTTCTAATAGTCCTCATATTTGATTCACATTATTTCTATTTTTTTTTCATATCTCTCGTATTGAATTTGTAATAAGATTTTCTAATAGTTATACATAAACAACATAAACAAGTCTTTTTTTTACTATGAATTGTAAATGATAGTGGCATTGTTTAATTTTTTTAAGCTTTTTGTTGTAAAAAAAAATTTGTTTACTTTTACACGTTGATCCCTTGGGATAAAAATCAAGGATCCTCCACTAGTCACAAGGAAGGCAAGACATGGCGAAGAGATAATGTCATACAATCCATGCAAGGTACAAAAGACAATACCTCCAGTGATCGACTCCCAACGAACCTCGTGGGTTTCCTAGTATGCTTGGCAGCATGGACTGCATGCTCAACCTCGCACCATGGAGCTTACATGGGGCACCATGATCGTCAATTATTATTCTTGAGCCTGTAGGGTCTTTTAGAGGTGAGCATTTCAACTAGAAAACCGAGCCGAATTGAGCAAAAACAAAAAAAATCGCGTTTAACAATATTGGATCAGACCAGTTTAGTCCAATTTCGGTTCTTAAAGTGAAAATATGGGACCGAGCTGAACTGAACTGGCTGTGTATTTTTTAATAAAATATTTAAGCACAATGATAAATTTCTATGCCCATAACTAATCTTTTCCCCAAGCCTCCAAATTATTTCTCTTTTCTAGGCCCAATCACATCCCTTTGCATGAAACTGGACCATTTATGAATTTTTAAGCCCAAAAAATATAGGTTTGGTTGAGTTTTGTAAAAAAAATTCAATTATTAAAATAAAAAACTAAAAAAAACAGATTCCTCTCCAAAACCAGAAAAATCTAAAATCGAACCTGCTTATGTGCACACTGGACTGGATAATTTTTTAGTCAAAACCAGACCTAATAAATAGTATCGATTTCGGTTTGGGTGAGAACCGGATCGTGCCAACCCATAGCGTCTTTGATACATGGACTTGGCATTCGTATTTCAGAATGTCACATAACGACTTTAATGTACTTTAATCTTCACTCTTATCTGCTCAGGTACTTGAGGGACGTGCACCAAAAGTTTAATTTGTTTACAATGGTACTAAATACACCAAGGGATATTATCTTGCTAATGAGATATACCCAAAATGGGCAAACATCTTCTCAACTTGAGGGTAAAAAGAAATAACTATTTGCACAAAAATAGGAGGCAAACTGCAAGAATGTGGAGCGAGAATTTGGTATTCTACAAACTCGATTATGGCATCATGAAGATCTAGAGTGGATCATTAATGTATGCATCATTTTACATGTAATATGATTATGGGGGATGACCGTGATGAATATGGATCAAACTCCGAAGATGGGTATGATGCTACTCCAAGGGTCCTACACCTTCAAATTTTGGTGAGGGAGAATCCCACCTTCCGACGAGAGAGAGAAAATCTTGAACTTAAACTTTTTTAATGAATAAATGGTGCAATTGAACCCCTCATTCAACCCTCTCACCAAAATCCCTCTCATCATAGAAGCTCCCCCAATAGTGACACACCTAAAACCAGTGGTGGAGGTATTTGAAGGCTTAACGGGGCCTGGGCCTCCCCAAAAGTTTGATAAAATTTTATGTTTGGTCCTTTATTCCTACATATTTTAGGAAGTATATATAATAATTATTGCTTGTGGCCCCCCACAATAAAGAAAAGATGTGTTTCTCTTTACAAGTAAAAGACTGCGATTTCTTCACAAAATGGAAAGACTAAGTGATTTTGGGCCCCATCAATATATTAATAAAAAATAAAAGCAACCAATCAAATAAAGTTTCCAAAAATCCCCTTTATCAAATAGGAAGTAGACTTTTATCCAAATAAAAAACGATTGGGATTTTAATTTTTGTTCCTATATGAAGCAACATGAAATTAGTTTGAAGCAGCCACACACATCAAAAGATAATAATTGAATTAAGTTGTTTGCTCTCCAACCTCCTGCTTCAAAAAATTTAATTCTAGGTTAGATAACTTTACATAGTCATAGTTTTTTTTTCCTTTGTTTATTTACTTTTTATGAGAATATATTTGTATATAATATGAGTGAAAATTGAAGTTTTCATTGTTATAGTTATATGTTTCGTATCTTATATGTTCTATGCATAGAATATGAATTTTTTTAGTGTGTGGAATAATTTATGAATCATGTCCTTAATAAACTTTGTAATTGGTTTGTAGATGAAGAAACAACCTAGAATTGTTGGATTTTTCAAAATAAAACATACTGAAGTTACCTCATTTGTACATGATTCTAATATTGAGACAATAGAATATGAAAGTATTAGTACTTTAGAGCGCGATCCAGGGCTACGTCCACAAATATGGAATTATCCTATTAATCAATGTGAAGAAATTCGACGAGCTTACATTAACGCTGGCTCATACCAACCTATACTTTCCAAGTATCCCAAATCAGGATCAGTAACTCATCAGTGTAGCTTTCAAAGTTCATGGTTCAAACTATTTCCTTTGTGGTTAGAATATTCACTTGTGAAAGATGTAGCTTTTTATCTACCGTGCTATCTTTTTAACAAACCATCTGGACATTCTGAGAAAAATGCTTTCACTCTTGAGGGATTTCGAAGTTGGAAGAAAGTTAGAGATGGAAAAAGTGTTCTTTTCTAAATCACGAGGGGAAAGATCCCAACTCCCCTCATAAAATTGCCGAAATATCATGTTTGGATTTGATGAATCAATCCCAACATATACAGAAAGTCGTTGAGAATTATTCTTCCCAACAAATTGCAAACAATTGACTACGACTTAAGGTAAAAATTGAAGCCGTTAGGTGGCTTGCATTCCAAGGATGTGCTTTTAGAGACCATGATGAAAAAAAGAATTCAATCAATCGTGGAAATTTTCTTCAAATGTTAGAAATATTGGCTGCATATAATAAAAAAGTTGTTGGAGTTGTCTTAGATAAAGCTCCCAAAAATGCCTCTTACACATCACCACATATCCAAAAAATAAATTTTACATATTTTTTCAACTGAAGTGAAGAAAGCAATCTGTGAAGAAATTGGGGAATCAAACTTTTGTATAATTGTTGATGAAGTGCGTGATGAATCCAAGAGAGAGCAAATGGCTATAGTGTTGTGATTTGTTGACAAAGAAGGTCTTATTCAGAATCGTTTTTTTTGGGCTTGTTCATGTGTTAGACACTGAGACATTAATGTTGAAAAAATATATATACTCTATATTGTCTCATAATTCACTAAATATTCGAAATATTAGAGGATATGGATACGATGGTGTAAGTAACATGTGAGGTGAATGGAATGGGTTACAAGCTATGATTTTGAATGATTGCTCATATGCTTACTATGTTCATTGTTAAGCACATCGATTACAATTGGCATTAATGATCAAGAGAAGTTATTAATGTTCACCACTTTTGCACTAAATTGACTTCTATTGTCAATATTGTTGGTGCTTCATGCAAGCGTAATGAGGAACTGAAAAATGCTCAAGCTGCTGAAATTAAGCACATGATTGCAATTGATGAGCTTGAGATTGGAAAAGGAATTAACCAAATTGGCAGCTTACAATGTGCTAGTGATACTCGTTGGGGTTCTCATTTGAAATCAATTGCTAGCTTGGTAAATATGTTTAGTGCAACATGCACAGTTCTAATTAATATAATTGATAATGGAACTACTTATTCTCAACGAGGAGATGCTGATGTAGCTTATAAGGCAATGACTTCATATGAATTTGTCTTTATCTTACATCTTATGAAATAACTTATGGAGATCACTAATGATCTTTGTCAAGAAGAACTTATGGAGATCACTAATGATCTTTGTCAAGCTTTGCAATGTCAATCCCAAGATATCGTAAATGCCATGAATCATGTTTCTTCCACTAAAGCACTCATCCAAGAATTAAGAGATGATGGATGGGATTCTTTGCTTGCCAAGGTGAATTCTTTTTGTGAATCACATAACATTGATATCCTAGATATGAATGCTCATTATGTTGCAAGACGAGGTTGAGCTCGCCATCAACAAGATGATTTTACGATTAAGCATTATTACATGATAGATATTTTTTTATGCTGCAATAGATTCTCAACTCCAAGAATTAAATAGCAGATTTAGTGATCAAACAACAGAGTTGCTTATTCTGGGGTTGGCTTTGGATCCTCGTGAAGTGATTAAATCTTTTAGAATTGATGATATTTGTCAATTGGTAGATAAGTTCTACCCGCAAGACTTTGAAGATCATGAGAAGATAGGTTTGAGAAGATAACTTCAACATTTTGAGAATGACATCGTTCGACTTCCAGAGTTCGAGAACTTGTCAACAATTTCTGATCTATCTCAATGGATGGTAACAACTAGAAGATCAACGACATATCCACTTGTTTATAGAGTGGTTGTGCTTGTGCTTACTCTTCCTATTTCTATTGCAACTTCAGAGCGATCATTTTATACTATGCGTATAGTAAAAACTAGGCTTCGTAACAAGATGGAAGACGAATTTCTCACAGACTCTTTGATTATGTACATCGAAAGGGAAATTGCAGAAAAATTTAGCATTGACTCAGTCATAGATGGTTTTCGAGATATGAAAGAACGACGAGTGTTATTTTGATACCTAATTGGCTAAACAATTATTTTATGCTTTTTATTTTTCCAAACATTATTAAGGTTGAAAAATTGAAATTTTTTAATGTCTTGTTTGGTTTATATGTTGGCTCCCCAACACATAAATTCATGGCTCCGCCACTGCAAAAAACTAAACTATACATAAGCACATTGAGCCCATTCTATGGCCCAAATTAACTTAACAAAAAAACACTTTTTTTATTGATTAAAAACAAAACTAAGAAAAAAGTAGAACAATTTCCTAGTGAAATGAACTGAAAAAAAAAAAAAAAAAAAAAAAAAAAGAGACCTACTTTGCATGCTGCACTGCATGGTAACATTTTTCCCATGAAAAATGGTTTTTTTTTTTATGAGAAAAATTAAATTAAAAAAAAAAAAAAAAAAAAAAAAAAAAAAAAAAAAACTGTAATTTCATAAATCCATTTCCACCCTAAAATCCAAGAAAAGTTTGAGCCCCAAGGAAGCAAAATATTTATTCTTGTTTCCGTTTTCCTTGCTTGGTAACCAAGGTGACAATTGGGACCACCATAGTGTGTCTGTAGCACAGGCTAGTACAAGGGTGATGCCGAGTGACATAGGGGTGTGCCATTAATGCCCCTTCACTTGCTGCAATTGATTTTATTTCTTAATTTTATTATATAAAAAAAAGATTTTATTACTATTTATTTATTTAATACACAGTCCTTGTTTTCGTCCGCTCTCAGACTCCCAGGCGGCGCTCTTCAATGCCGTAATAAATAAGCTCACATTTACAATTCACACTCTATTATTTACACAACATACTGGTCCCTGATTGGCCACAACGGCAAGGGCCAATGGAACATTAACACGTGTCAGCGAGAGAATGAGTGGGTATAAAAATCTCACTTCTTTTTTGGGGTTTAGTTTTTATTTATTTATTTATACTTGCTTTCCCTTTCTGCTTCAGAAAACACATTGAGGCACGCATTGCCAGCAGTAAAGCCTGAAAAGCAGTTTTCTTTTTTCTTTTAAAAAATAAAAAATAAAAATCTTCGTTTGCCTTGTTTGAAGTGAAATCCAGATTCGGGAGCGTCTATTATGTCCGAAAATTCCTCAAGAAATGACAACAACGTCTTTTTCACTGTCTCCCTCCCAATCTCTGCTCTGCTCTCTGCTCTCTGCTCTGTGCTCCCTGCTCCCCATTATGAATGGTCGGGTCTTGTGCCTTCTTCTTCCTCCTTTTCTGCTGGTTTATGGAGAAGTGGGCTTGCATGTTTTTGAACTAAAACTTTGGGCTTCTAGTGGACTGTCAGGTCGTTTGCATGTTTTACTTTTTCAACACAATCAAGCCCATCTCCAATTTTTACTTTCTCCGAGTAGCATTCATAAGGGAGTGCTTCTATAGTGAGTGGAAAGTTATAAGGGTTTTTTTGAGGGGTATGTAAGAGCCGTTGGATTTCATCCAACGGTGAGTTTTTAAAAGAGGGTGCATGTAGAACCGGGTTGAAATCTGACCCGTTTGGAAACCCAACTTCAGCTGAAGATTTTTCCCTCTCTGTGAAAAACTCAAGAACACAATCCTCTCTTTTTTAATGTAATGCAAATCCACAATTAGAAAGATCCAAAGCTCCCAAACTCTATAATCGCTCCATTGTCATCAGCTCCTTGGGAGGCCTGCGATCATGGTATCCTCGGTTTGACGATTAATGGCTTTTACCTAGCTATTGCCCTGTTTTGATTCTATGATTCAAGTGAAAACCCCTTCTTTTTTTCGTTCAGCAGAAGAGATTCCAGATGAAAGCAAAGTAGCATATCTCTTTTTCGTGCTGCTGCAGTTGTTCCTCGATTTTGGTAGAGATGGAGTCTCCACTACGAAAGAATCCTCTCTAATGTCCACCACATTCTCTCAAGCTGACTGACTTCGGAGCTCCCGATTGACTTTGAGAGGTAAGTTCACTCTTGCTGGATTGATTTTGTTGGGTTTGATTTGTTTTTTGTGAGGGTGAGAAATTTGTCATTTGTGGCATCAATAATGCGTCATTTGCTCTGCTATCAATAATGCGTCATTTGACTTTGAGAGGTAAGTTCACTCTTGATGGATTGATTTTGTTGGGTTTGATTTGTTTTTTGTGAGGGTGAGAAATTTGTCATTTGTGGCATCAATAATGCGTCATTTGCTCTGCTATCAATAATGCGTCATTTGACTTTGAGAGGTAAGTTCACTCTTGATGGATTGATTTTGTTGGGTTTGATTTGTTTTTTGTGAGGGTGAGAATTTGTGGCATCAATAATGCGTCATTTGCTCTGCTATCAATAATGCGTCATTTGCTCTGCTATCAATAATGCGTCATTTCCTTATGAATATTCAATATACTTAGTTGATTATTTTTTTTTGAGGGGGGTTGGAAAATTATGAAATGTAGGTAAGAGATCCTAAACTTAGGCTTAATGGCATTAGGAGTAAGCATTTGGAGAGGATATTGGGTGAAGTTTTGTAATTGCTGGTTTAAATTACATTTGAGTTCTTAGTTGAACATGTTGGTTCTAATGTTATTTTTTCCAGATTATTTCACAAGAGATGACGTAACTATTATTAAATTTTGCTTGTGTTTTGTGTAATCAGAATCCAACAAGCTAGGCAATGCGTGTATTGTGTCAATTTGGGCAATGTTTTGTGTAAGTGGAATGCATTGATAAGTTGTGATTCAGTAATGATTGATTAATGAATTAACATTTGCTATGCAGTAATATAGAAGTAGATCAATAATATATGTGGATAAAATGTCTGGGGGCTCAGAGAGTGATAACTCTGTAACAGCTAATGGGAGGGTTTACATTCCTGAAGTAAGAAATGAGGAAACACCAGCAGTTGGGATGAAGTTCGACTCGCTTGACCTCGTTTATAATTTCTATAATAGATATGCATTCTTGGCTGGCTTTTGTATTCGACTTCATTCCAGCTTTTGGGGGAAAAATAAGAAAGAGATTCTGAGAAAAGAATTTGTATGTTGCAAACAAGGTGCATACCGGAATGATGAAACTCGGGAGAGAAAAAGACAGCGGGGAATAAGTAGATGCAATTGCAAAGCTAAGATTGTGGTTGTGAAGACACATGGGAGCAAGAAGTATACCATCTCTCTTTTTGCAGAGGGACACAATCATAAGATGACACCCTCAGGAAGAATGCATTTACTGAGATCACACCGTCGTATTTCAGATTCTACAAAAGTACTCACAAAACAGTTGGGTTCGGTTAATATTCCCATTAATAAGAAGGTAAGTATTTTCGAGGTGCAATCCGAAGGAATGGATAAAATCGGTTTTATCAAAAAGGATATCTACAATCTTGAATGTAGTGTGAATGGGAAGCTGAGGAACCACGATGTTGAACTAGTGACCGAGTATTTTATGGTTGAACAGAAAAAAAATGAGGCTTTTTATTTCAAGATTGAGGGAGATGGCGATAACAGGTTTAGTCGATGTTTTTGGGCAGATGCAACTTCTAGACGGGCGTACGGGTTTTATGGAGATGTTGTTGTATTCGATACCACATTCAACACGAATAGATACGACTTGACATTTGCACCAATGTTGGGAGTTAATAACCATGGTCAAACAATTGTCCTAGCATGCGCATTTTTGAGCAAGGAAACGACTGAGTCGTTTATTTGGATGTTTGAGGAGTTTAAGAAAGCCATGCCAGGTGGCGAACCTAAAACGATCATTACAGATCAAGATGCGGCAATGAGCAGAGCGATTTCAATAGCCTTCCCGACTACATTTCATCGACTTTGCATATGGCACATCACATCAAAGTTCTCTGTTAAGTTACCACATTCTGCTTATAAGGAGTATTGGGGTGAATTCCAGAAAGCCATATGGGATACTGACAATAAGGATGAGTTTGATGCAAAATGGAATATTGTGGTTACAAAGGCTGGTTTGACTGACCATCCATGGCTAAGTTCAATGTTTGATTTAAGGGAATCTTGGGTTCCAGCCTACGCACGACACTTTTTTGCCGCTGGAATGTCAAGCAGCCAAAGAGCGGAATGTTCTCATGGTTTCTTCAAGCAATACATATCAAGGAGAAATTCGTTGATGGATTTCATAATAAGATTTGAGAGGGCACTTTCTCATCAACGTCAAAAAGAATTAGTTGCTGATCACGTAGATGCATTTGAAGTGGCTCAATGTATTCTACCGATGCCAATGAACAAACAAATGGCTACCTTGTACACAAGGACAATGTTTCAAAAGTTTGAGCAAGAACTAATACAAAGTACAGCATGTTTCCTAGAGCTGAAAACAGAGGATGCTTCTAAAGTTGTCTTTAATGTGAGCGAAAGGAAAAATTGGGAAACAAGAGTGGCAGAAGTCGTATATGTCAAAGATTCTGACCACGCATCGTGTAGCTGCAAAAGATTTGAATTTGTTGGAATTATTGGCAAGCACATCCTAGCATTGTTCAGAAAGGACCAGATTGAATATATGCCCGATAAATACATTTTGAAGAGGTGGAAGAAAACTGCGAAATCTGGATTGGTGTCAGATGCAAATGGCAACGAAATTAAAGACTCTGCAGATCCTGGTCTTTTAATAAAGCGGAGTACAATGTCCCGACTTGCTTCAGATGTGGTTGAGGATGCATTAATGTGTGAAGAAGGATGTGAGCTACTGTTAGAGACTCTAAAAAGTTTGCGGGTGAAGTTGAAGTTGTTGAAGGATGGACCAAGTAATAACGAAGTTGGAGGGTCCAGCTCTCAAACACAATATATGAAAGACCCTAAGAGAGTAAGGTGCAATGGAGGGTCGAAACGAGTAACGGGAGCAAAGGAAAAGGCAATGAAGCGAGGGATTAGACACTGTCGGGAGTGTGGACACATTGGTCATGATAGAAGACAATGCCCAAGAAATTTGAACACACCGTAAGATGTTAACACTATTTATAATAAGACCTAAAATTTGAATAGGTAAAGTTCTTATGTGCTTCTGTTTGATGTTTATGCAGGACATCACCGTCGAACAATGACGAATCAACTCCAATAGATCTTAGTGACCCATTATTGGACGAATTTTACAGGATGCACGGACCAACTCAATTATTTAGGTTTCTATTATACGAAGCCCGGTTATTATGAAGACTAATGATCAGGTGAAGTTTTCTAGATTCAGTTTTATTATTATTATTTTTTGTTCATGTCCACCGATGAGCTCTTACTATGTCCATTGATAATTGAAATGAAAATTTGCTTGGTTTCATTCTTGCATGAAATTTGGACACATGTTAATTTTACGTCTTCTCCCTATTTAGAAATTTTCATAGACATTAGATAAAGCATCAAATTTTGATTTATGTGAAGAAGCAATGACTTTTACCTTGTAAAATGGGTAGTTTATGGTGAATTATGTTTTAACAGAGATTCATTGATTATATGACAGGCTAATGCAGCATTTCCAGCAGCCAGCTGTTGTTTCCATTACAAGTAATGATTTCCAGCAGCACGCATCATTTGTAGCAGCACCCACTTTTTGCGAATGTTATGTTCTAGTGTTTTACTGGTGATTAAGATCTGAGCTGGACTGGTTATTAGGTGCACGATTTTGCAAACATTCGTAACTGAAGGATACTTGAAGCACTTTGTTGGAACAGAAAGATTAGAAAGCAACGTGTAAAAAAGTACATTGCAGCTAATCACATTTCGAATGGTTGGGTAATATTAAAGGGTACACTAACATTTAAACTACTCATAATTCCACACACAAAAGAAAATTTGATTGCAAAGCATTTTATGTGCTCCCTCTTAGCAATACCACGATCTCCCCAATCAACTGAACAACGGTAGCCCACAATCACTAGGTCGTATTGGTCAGCTTCTTCTTAGCAGGTCTCACGTGCTTATGGTCACTCATGTCCCCAGTGATATAGACAAAATAAATATTCAGCAATATTTGGAATTTTATTATATATACATAAACCATAAACCATTCACTACACAATGTATAGCACATGATATTTTACTGATTCCCAACGTGCTGTGATATTGACTGCTTATTGAATAATATTTCCATATTTGCAAAATATAATGTTAGACAGAAGGAACAAATGAAACTGATATTTGTATTATTTTATATTAGATAATGACATTAAGGGAATATAGTTCTAATTTGTGCAATAGCACGATCACCCCCAACCAATAGAACAGCTGTAGCCGCAATCACTTAGTCGTATCGGTCGGCTTCTTCCGAGCAGCTTTGACGTGCTTATGCTCATTCATGTCACCACCATCGTCTAGTATCTCTCTCACAGCATCAGGGGACACATAGTCCCAATTATAACTTGTATGAGTAGTTGCCGCGAATGCTCGGAATTTTTCGAATCCTTCGTTGAATGCCAACTCCAGTTCACTATGGTGCTCTTCGCATCGCATATGGTTCATCAAACAACCTTTAATTTCATCATTCATTACTGCATCCAACTCCTCAGCTTTCAGCTTCCTTTTATGACTCAGCTTCAAGTACTTGTTCTTTTGGGAGAACCCTTTGTTCACTCTAATGAAACGACCTGACCCAATTTCCACTTTGGAATGCGAGGTCGAAACCTGTTTAAAACTGACACCTGGTAACCGTGGGTCGTAAATGACCAAAAGGCCCTGAAAAACAATAACACAAATTCTGGGGACCTAACTCGTGGCTGCGCCTGACAACTATAGGCTGCCTACGTACCCTTACTGAGGGATCAAGCCACACATAGTTCTTTCCTCTGTTCTTGACCTGCAACTGGTTCGTTATTTTGTAACTGGTTTAATTATCCGTAAAACATACTCTAGGGCTGACATTTCTGGAGTATCCGGGACTGCGTTTTATGATCCGTCAAATACTATACGATCTTGGAAATACCTAGATCAACATACTTGAAATTGACTATGATCCAACGGTTCAAACGTACCGAACCCGGAAATCGCATAATAGGCGAGATCCGTTCGAGGTTCAAACATTATCCGAATTAAGATCTGCGAAATCCTACGCGCTCGTGAGGACTAGGAGATCAATCTAGGACTGACTGTGGTCCCCACCCTGCTGCCCACGCGCCGCCACACGCGCTGGCAGCGCGTGGTGCCTAAAGCGATAAAGCCTCGCCTGAAAAATCTCAACATCTCGGTTCAAGACTCCTATTCTAGGTAAAACACCCTATTTGGAACCACTTTTGTTATTGGACCTACCCCAAAAACTGGCCGGAAGTGGCCGGAACAGTGACCCGAAAGTCTGCTGAAACCTAACTTAAAAATTGAACAATCTACGCTTAAAATCTCTGAAATCCTACCCAACCAGCAGCTAGAGCATGAAAAATAGCTAAAAATCCATACCTCACTCGTCCGATTTGGTGGCCGGAGGTGTCCGAACGAGCTCCGTGAAATTCCATCAAAAACTGTCCAAACCGCCCTGTTTCGTGGCGGTTTCCGGCGTCCACACCGGTGGATCACGGCTGGGATGGGTTAAAACTGAAAGAGGGGAGTGAGGTGGTTCGTTTGGCACTGGTCTTGCTCAATTTGGTGGTCGGAGCTGAGAGAAACCCTCTCCTAAAGTCGGCTCGTCCAACTGGAGGAGGAGAAGAAAACTGGGTTTATAAAAATTGAAGTTCGAGATATTTACGGTTATGCCACTGAACTTCTTTTGCTCGTAACTCCTTCGTTACAACTCCGTTTTGAGTCCACTACATGTCTACGGACTCGTTTTGTCGTGCTCTACGCAACAGTATAACTGGAATCCTCAAATTCTTTCCCGGTCAAAAAGTCAAATTTTAACCTAATAAAATATTCTAGGGGTATTTTAGTCTTTTTCTCAAATAAATTAATAATTAAATATTAATTTTGGGTTTGGGTTATTACATCTAATGTTAAGATCAGCCAAAATGGCCTCGTCTTCAACACATTTCTCGTGCCATGAATTGATCAGTCTGGAATTATAATCCAGCTTGGTACTGACTGCATCTATTGCCTCTAATGGATCATCGGAGTCCCCCTCACTCCCAAATGATGTTGAAAATGGAAGGGGTCGGCGAGTACAACGTGGAAACGGAACCTGCGACTCCAATTTTTCATCTTCGATTGTGTTGTTGGCGCCTGAAGAGGTTGACATGCTTGAATAATCCTATTTGTTTTAGAGGATGAGGATTGCAGATGCAATTTCGTTTGAGAAATGGAACATAGCTTTATAGACCAACATACCAAAGCTTGCGTGTAGTCAACATATCTACTTTATTTCAATTTTAAAAAAGAGGTGTCAGGTTTTGCTTTTCAAGCATGTCAACCTCACACTCTCCTTACACCACTGTTAGTGGTTGAAAGAAACTCAATGGAAGTGACATCTAGTTAGTGAACCCAACCAAACTAAACAAACTAGTTAGGATTAAACTTAGATTGTATGAGACCTTTTTTCATTTATACATTGTCAACCAAATGTTTTTTTTGGCGGGAACCCTTTTTTATTGGTATTACTATCACCCTCTTCATAAAAATTCTCCCTCCACCAAAATCTGTCTCCATCTACTGAAACTCTCTCCTCCACAGAAACTCTCCCCCATTGAATGGATTTACTAACCAAGTTTGATGTGAGCATAATAAACACCCCTCCAAACAAAGACCGCCTTCGAAACGCAAGTGAGTCACCAGACAAGCAATGTCACTTTCCTAGACAGAATGACCATTTTGTTGGAAGTTTTGAGTCTGAAAGAGTTCTTGCTTTCTGGAAGGAGAGGCATCTTCAACTTGGTGATGAAATCCAAAGGGCAAGGGCACGTTTGGAATTTGTTGAAGGCCAAATTGAAGATGACAAAAGGCAGGCCAATCTGGATAGGGCGAAGTTGCAGCGCATGAAGCGTAGACACAAACGACTTCGGAGTGTAGCTGTTCAAAAATACAAGAACTCATCTAATGCAATGGAGTCAAAGAAGCGTGTGATGCAAGCTGGATTCGACTACTTCCGGTCCTATGCAAAACTCGTCGTACCCGGGTTTGATTGGTCATCTATTACCGTTTCCGACGTTAACAAATATACTCAGCAAGGGAAGTAACCATTTTGGTTATCGTGTTTGAGTAGAGGCAAATCAGAGGAACTGGAATTTTCGTTAACTCTGCTTCAAACCTATTTTGATGCTTACTACTATAGAAGATTTCAAACTTAATATTTTGATGTCTTTAATTACGATAACACGATGCAAAGTGCCCATCTACTTCAGTCATATGTTGCTGCCATGTCCATTTTTTTGTGATCACGTATCAGATTTGGACATGGTTGCATCATATGCAATGTTGCCTTTATGTATTATATGTTAGGGTAAGGTTTATGGAAAAGCATGTGTGAGTGGTTTTGTGACAAAGTTATGGCATTATTTTGTACCAGTTATATATTGTTTTTTGTACTGGTTCATCTCCTACTATTGCTTTATTTCTTTATATTATATGTTTATGCGATTGGACATGATAGAAAATATATTACTGATTCCCAATGCGGCGTCATAAGGACAACTTATTGAACACCGCCGACGTGTTGAAAACTCTAGGTGCAGGTGCATATGGACAACTTATTGACTATCTCTGACGTCTTCAAAGCTCTAGGCGCATGCGCAGTTCCAATGATGGCTTCGAAGTAGTGGTGCATTTATTATATATGTACATTATTATAACCAAAACAGATAATTTTACATCCTTATATATGAAAGGAAACTAATTCTTGTATTAGTACAAATTATATAACGAATATTAAGGAAATATACTTGTTAAAGTGACAAACATATATACTTAGGGTTAAGAGGAAAGTGAGTTATGTAAACAATTTTTGAATTTTTAATTGCGAAATGGATGATTTATGGGTTCCATAGTTTTATAACGTCATAAGGAGGCCGGAGTATTTGTCGGGGCATTTTTAGGATTTTTCTACTATTTATTGCATTTTTTCAAAGATTTTTGCACTAAAAAAGCCAAAATAATTGCCAAATGGACACATGGCGCGATCTCAGCCCCTCACCTTTCACCCCTTGACAAGTGTGCGTCAGTCAACATGGCCACATCCTTACCTTTTACCATAAATTATTATTTTATGACTTTTTCTTAGAAAATTCATAACTAAATACACAAAAATCAGAAAAATGATCCGAAAATTGCTACGAACTCATTGAGACTCCATCTCCCTTGCTGAATTCCCCGATTAGTGGTTACGCATTTTAAAAAACAATTCCGAACATTAACGGGAGATGCTTGTTGAAGTAGGTTATTGAAGTTAAAGTTAACAACATATATACTTAGGGTTAAGAGGAAAGTGAGTTATGTAAATTATTTTTGAATTTTTAATTCCGAAATGGATGATTTATGGGTTCCCCTCGTTTTATAACGTCACAAGGAGGCCGGAGTATTTTTCGGGGCATTTTTAGGATTTTTCTACTATTTATTGCATTTTTTCCAAGATTTTTGCACTAAAAAAGCCAAAATAATTGCCAAATGGACACCTGGCGCGATCTCAGCCCCTCACCTTTCACCCCTTGACAAGTGTGCGTCAGTCAACATGGCCACATCCTTACCTTTTACCCTAAATTATTATTTTATGACTTTTTCTTAGAAAATTCATAACTAAATACACAAAAATCACAATAATGTTCCGAAAATTGCTACGAGCTCATTGAGACTTCATCTTCCTCCTGAATTCCCTGTTTCATGGTTACGCTACATTAGTATTTTATTATTATTTATCCAAAATTATTTTTATTATTATTGTTATATTACTTTTTAGCTTGTACATTTGTTAATTATATTTACTCCAAATTTTTAATTTTAATTTTATTTTCCGTGTGAATAGACCATTTCTGGTGCTAATCAGTTTCTCTCTTCTTTAATTTGTTAATGTTTTTTTCTTTTTTAGGTTTAAGGGATGTTTTCAAACATAAAATGGAAATATACAAGCCATCCATTCTACAACATCAGGAAATAATTATTCAAAGTCTTTCACTGTTCAAGTTTTGCTTAAGAAACGTGTAACCCAATCATTTGGGATATGCTAAGTGGGAAAATGTCATTCCCAAGAACCGGTGAAAAGACACATACTCACTTCATGCATGCGTTTTCGTTTACCAAATATTAAGATTGCAGTTGTGCAAAATATCTGTGTCAGTAAAATGTCATTCGTAGCCGTCAATTATGTCAGTAATAATTCCACTATATAACAAATATTATACATTTATATATAAAACGGTTTAGGACAGCACAAACACCAGACAAAATAGATTAAAACATGAAATAGAAAACAACATTTGTAGAACATAGACACGCATAAAAACCGTAGAAACATACTACAACTAATTATAAGGGTATGGATTCCCTGGCACAACATAGACACGCATCACCTTGAACCAAAAAACACTCTCACGGTGCCATTTGCATCGATTGCAACAAGTCCAGAAGGCAGGATTGATCTTTTCTTCACTAGGCCAGCCTGGAATAACAAAACACCAGTCGTTGTTGTTACAAGCGCTGCACTGATTGAACTTAATCTTTCCATAGTGAAACATATCTACGATATGTCTTCCAACAGAGAAAATTCCGCTTAATCGTCGTCTCAAGGCATCCCTGGTTCCTTTCATATCAATGTTGTTACGTTGATTCAAAGAACACAAGAATTCTAATGCATCCTCTTTTGACTGACCAATTTCGGACATGCCAAGTAGTCCAACTAGATATGCGCTTCCATATGGCCTGCCGTGGCTGCAACGCGCATCCCAGACAATGCTTCCACATTACCCTGCCTGAAAAACACGTCGAACGCTTCTCTAAATATCGCCTCACGGTTCTCGCAAGCCCTGCATTGTTCCACGAAATGCCGGACCTGCGTTGAGGCATAGTACCAGTTAGGATGGTCTTGGTACTTTTCCATTGAAATTGTGTTCCACACTTGTGGAGTGTTTGCCAACGTATTGAACAATGGGCACACAGATGCCATACGAAAGAGATTTTCCGATGATTGGGTTGCCACGTATAACATCACTTTAAACCAAGCTAATTCCGGGATGAAGGCTTGAGGCACATCCAGATGGAGATGCTTCCTTCTCTTTCCTCCGACTGTAGTGTAATGTTTCGAATTCATTGAAATATTTTTGGAATGGAACGATTTGAGGACTGCAAGAGGGGAGAAATGAGAATATACGGGGTTTTGGGTTTGTTTTAGCCTCTGTTTGCACTGTTTTGAAAAGGTGTTTCCTTGGGGTTTTTCCAAGTTGACCCTTTTTAAAGAAACTGAACCCAACACCCAAAACATAAGACAGGCGAAGGGAAAACGTCATCGAAATGCAAAGGGAGTCAGACCGTCCAAAAGTCAATTAATAACCTATTTCCATAGCCATTGTTAGGCTTTTCCCGCCATTAAATTCATTGATACAAATGTGATGGATTACTGACTAGTGACAGAAGGTCCCATCAGATACTTTTTCATTTTCCCACACCACACTACCCCTAGTAAATGACGGATTCTTATCCAACTAGTTGCCTTAATGAAATATAAAGAAAATAATATATTTAAAGCAGTGTCCCCTCAATTGTAAGATTAATATTTGGTAGTGAAATAGTATATCGCTTTTCGGAGTAAAAGGTGTCACAATTCTGACGGTACAGGTGTCCAGATTGTGACCAACCCACCCACACACAGAAAAGAAGGATATAATTCGATTTGGGCAGAGATGAGAGAGAGCTGAGTGAGAAGTTTAGGGTTATGACTTATGAGTGAAGGGGTATGACTGAGAAGGTATGAGTCCGAAGAGGTTTTAGTGAGAAGATCTGAGTGAGAAGAGGTACAAGTGATAAGATTCAACATGTCTTCGTCTTCATCTCCCGCTCAAACAAAGAGGTGTCAGTATTGTGGAGCTGCAATGGTGCTTCGGGTTTCAAAATCAGATAAAAATCGAGGGAAGCCATTTTGGAAGTGTCTAACCTCCTATGTAAGTTCTCATTTCCAGAATATGTATGTGGGTGAAAAAAAAATCCTAGGTCTAACTCTGACAGAATTATTTTGCATATATGATGCCTGCAATTAGGGAGCCACCAGTTGCAATGGATTCGAATGGGTTGATGTAACCTCCGCTGAAGCAGATCAGCAAGCTGACACGTATGATGCTACAGTGCTTAATATGCTGAAGTCCATTAAGGACTTGGTATTAGTTTTATTAGTTGTATCAATTGTCATATTATTTGTTCTTTTAATGACCAATTAAGTGCACGGTTTCAAGGATTGTAAAAGTTCTCCCCAAAAACACATGTTGCACGCACCACCAATGACTTTTCAAACCCAATTTGTAATTTTTGTTCTTCAAATAGGTGGATTGGCATTGAGTTTAAATTATTGTTTGAAACAAAAGCATTTATTTGTCAGAAACCCAGTAAAAACTTTCCTAGACTTACTTTACAAAATAAAGTCATACGAAGACGATAAAATGACAATACAGGGCCAATACGATGCAATAATAAGACAATACCTTTTTTTTGAAGATTGCATAATTATTTAGTGTATATAGATTGTTTATTGATTGTTTACTGCATGTAAATTGCATGATATTGAATGTTTATTGAAGGTTTATTAACTGCATGTATTTCGCATGTTATTACTTCGATATTGAGTGTTTATTGAAGGTTTATTGATTGTTTACATGTTTCGTGAAGGTTTATGATTGTTAACTGCATGTATTTCGCATGTTATTGAACCGATATTGAAGGTTTATTGAAAGTTGATTGAGTGTTTACTGCATGTATATCGCATGTTATTGCTCCAATATTGCATGTTTATTGGGGGCAAAAGTAGGACTCAAGTTAGATTTAAGGGGGGAAACGGTCCTTATTCTTTGTTTTAGTAGGAAGAACAACTGTTAAGTAGAATTTCCTATTCAATACGACTTCCTTATGGTTGATGTAATTGGGGACTGATGTATATTGCATGTCTATTGCGTGTATATTTCATGTCTATTGCGTGTATATTGCTTGTCTGTTGCCTGTGTATTGTTATTTATTTCCTTCGTAAGCAATACAAATCAATACAGACGCAATAAATGTTAGATATGCACGCAATAGACAAGCAATATAGACCCAACAAACATGCAATATAGACGCACCAATATACATTACTGTTATGCTACTCAGCTGCCCAAAACCAATAAAATAAAGAAAATCAACCAATTTATTAACCGATTATAAAGGAGAGAGGGATTCAAACCCGAGGGGCAGTGCGGAACCAATAGGGAGTTTTTAGAGCATTGCACCTGGGGACATTTTTTCATGTGTTTCTATAAGGAGGGCATGGTTGAATAAAATATTGGAGGCGAGGCCATAGCCGCCTATTCCCTTTACAGAATTACCTTATTAAGATGCAACCCATTGCGATTAAGTCAAGGCATGTTGAACGGCTTAAAGATTGGGATATGATATTTGGAATGGTGGCTTGGATAAATGATGACATATCACTTTGCAATGATGTAATACACTTAAAAAGCCATCAGTCCCTATGTGAATATGCATTCTTCAAATCCCAATTCACATATGCAGTCTTCAAATCCCAATTCAATGCAGTTTGGTTGAGGTTAGGTAAATGTCGTGAAGGAGTTAGGCCAATATTACACCGATGTTTGTTTCATTACATCAAAAAAAAACTTTACACTCCATATGCACATTCTATGTATGGGAATGGCATGTGTCTAACTTCAAAAACGCATCTGCCTATCCATTTAGATTGCCCACGTGCAATAGATTTACAGATCCATTTACTTTTCTCCTCACCAACCCTCAGCATCTCCATTTTAGATTCTTCATTTTTCTATGCTCTGCAACCAGCTCCATATACATTTCGCACAATATGAGAATAAACATAGCGTAATATCACACTAATCGAAATGAAAGCATGCATCCGCTATAATATTTGCCACTATTTTGGTTCTAATTGTTATTGTCCAGTAACTTAAATCTAAATTTCTGTACACAAATACACTAAGATTGAGAAAGACGAAGAAGAATTCAGGAGCAGAGGTGGAATTCGAAAAGGACCCATGGGTCTCTATTGTGTATTTACATGACTTTGAAATTGGACATTCCCAAAACCTATTTAATCATCATGTGCCTAAACCAAGTTCAACCGATATCATGGCATGTAAGCATCTCCCCGTGCAATTTCTGCAGCCAACTTCAACCGAAAAAATGGCATGTTCTGCGAGGTGCAAGTAGCTAAGGGAATCTCAGCACTCAACAACTCAATGTACTTCAACACGAACATACCACAATCGCCTCTGAAGCAAAACAAGAACTCGATCAATTCAACTAATGACATTCTAACGTAATTGACAAATTAAAGTAATAAAATTAAATAAAAAGTTGTGCTCACTGATTAGCTTGTTGTGGAACATCCACACGATGTATTGGCCATGGACACCACCAATCTCGGGTGCACTCGTTCGCGTAAACACCTTCTTCATAAAAGTCGAGGGTGTGCAGAAGATTTGGAATCGTAATTGACAGGGGGCCGAGTTCTTCCTTTAAGCTCTGATCTGGAATGAGTGAAACCATTGAATCGTAGACTTTGATTTCACATTGAATCAGATCAATCTCTAGAGCCACCCAATGCTTATATTTTGGCAACATACAAGGTACATACACCTTATACGTGTTCTGCCAATCCAATCCACAAGCCGGAACCTTGCCATTTACAACGTTCACTAAACTGGTTCTAATTTTCCACCCAACTTGCTCTTTTTTCCTTTTATTATCCGCAAAGCAAGTATGGATGTGATTCTGTGAAATAGAAAACAATCAATGGTTAAACACCTCCACAAAGCAAGTATGGATAATTTGTAATTATTAACTGCACTTGGTCAAGGCCTATGCCATACTGATGTAGCACAGCCCTGGGTGTGTTAGTTTAAACACTTAGAGCAATAAGACAGAACATATAAGAAAAGCTGAAGGGAAGAAAAGGTAGAAGGCAGGCAGAAATCAGAGAGTTTAAAGGAATGTTTAATCAATATTCAAATCTGAATTGTAAAGAACTACATAGGGGTATTTATAGCAAACTAAAACCTAGAGACAATAGAATTAAAATCCCCAGGTAAAACAGAAATCCTATTCCTAATAAAATAGGAAACTTAGAAATCCTAATAGGATTTGGAAAACTAACTTAGAAATCCTACTAGGATTTGGAAAACTAAAGAATATAGGAAACTAACAAATCAATTAGGAAACTAAACAATTTAGGTCCTATGCATCCTGCATCACATACCATAAAAAATACATCGGTCGTTGTCCAGTCCGATATTTCTACTTCCTCCAACTGTTGTTGTCGCTTCCGGATGAGATACAAGCCCAAATCAATGTGCTGCACATGTTTTCCTTGTCAATCTCATAATCTATGCACATTCAAACAAATGCATAATCAATTAAACTTACATCTCCTTTCAGCCAACCGTCAGCTTTGACGAGGGAAGCGAAGAATTCAATCTCAGCTTCCACGTTGCCAAATTGCATCACCAAACTATGAATATAAAAAAGTTTTAGAACACAACAATTAAAAAATATATACACTCATGCCTTCTATCTCAAAAAACAAAGGACTTACTTTGGGTTATGGCGCCATTCCGAACAAAGTTTCAGCAATTTCACCATATCATCATGCGGAATCGCCTTTATTGGGTCTAACGTCCGAAGTCCGGTTGTCTTTGGCAAATTTTTTTGAACCACTTCACTAGCTTCAACGATCTTCCACATAGGAATAATCCTCTTCCTCTTCCGTAATTGGACCCCTCGTTCCACACCTTGACCTTCATCATTCAACCAAACGTTCAACTGAGATAACACAGCTGTAGGTTGATCCAAATCAATGTCCCCGAGAGTAACCTCAACCTTTGTCCCCTCCGTGCTCTCGCCAATGTCATCGCCAACCAACATAACTTCATCATCCTCTTCCTCACATTGGTTTCTTTGCACTTCCTTTTCCTCACTTCTCTGTCTTTTCACTTCCTTTCCTCCTTTTTCTTTGCAGTTCTTCCTCTCCCTCAATGCTCTTTCTTTGCGCTTCCTCTCCTTTGCTGCTTTTTATTTTCACTTGCTCTCCCTCACTTCTTTTCCTTTGAGCTTCCTCTACCTCCCTTGGTTTTCTTTGCACTTCACCTCCTTCAATCCCCTCCTCTTCCTTTTCCTCTCCCTCATTTCTCTTACTTGGCACTTCACCCCCTTCAATCCCCTCCTCTTCCTTTTCCTCTCCCTCATTTGTCTTACTTGCCCCTTCACCCCTTTCAATCCCCTCCTCTTCCTTGTCCTCTCCCTCATTTCTGTTATTTGGCCCTTCACCCCCTTCAATGTCCTCCTCTTCATTTTCCTCTCCTTCATTTCTATTACTTGGCCCTTCATCCCATTGCATGCCATCCACTTCCTCATATCCCTTAAATAGATGTGACACGACACAACGATTCGTCCTCTCTTTCAGTAAAGCTATGTCCCTTCTCACTTCCTGCTCAAAATGAGGACCTAAACAGTGGTCCAAAATTTTTTCCATCCGTATGACCTTTAACTCAAGGACGTCCTTTTCCCGCTTTACTTGAAACAACTCGGACCTCAACAAACTTACCGCCTTGTTCAACTCATCAGGGTCAGCACATGAAGAAGGAATTGACTCTGCCGAGACAACAGCAGGGCGACCCTGTGGCCAACTCCAATATGGTTGTCTCATTTCCTCTTCACTTGGACATAGCGCCCGCAACTGAACTGACTGTTTCAGAAAACAGACAAGAGTCATATGCAATCATTCTACTTCATAATTTCATTGAATTTTATAAATAGTTCCAAGGGCTGCAAACCAAACCTCTTTGCTCTGGAAAAAATAATTGTTCAACTTTCTCATCTCGGGAACAGACGTAGTAGTTCTCCATTGCAAAATCCGCGGGAGAGCTGTCGGATCAACAACCTTGCAGTAATTCAGGTCCGCCATTCTAGGAATTAATTCATATACCCAAATCTACACAATTCACAGGACACAAGTTATTATTTAAGTTTTAAAGTCAACAAAACATAACGACATGAACATTATTACCATGTACCTGGAAAGCATACGTGAAACCTTTAAAACTCCAGCCACCCCTTTGAACTTCACCATGGTTATCCTTCTTGCCCTTCTCATTTCTCCGGCTTGTTCTGGTTACCTTACTTTTCCCCTTCCCTCTTCCCTCTTCATTTTCAAAGCTTTTCACATACTTTGTTGGTGCAGAAAACAGACTGTCTTGGGTTTTGTCAAACGACACCGAACCCCATGGAAACCTGTTGAACGCATCCAAGTCCTCTACAAGGGTCAGGTAATTTAGATTGATGTTCAAATGTTTGTCCCTTCCCAAAACCACTAACTCAGCAAAGTAAACAAGAGCTAGCTTGTAGACGTCATCTTCCTCTGTGCACCTCACAAATGCTTCTTCTAAAGCATTACATGTAATTCCTTCGTCTATAAAATATTTTTTCTGAAGTCTAATTTCATCACTTTCTCCACTGGAAACTTCAGGCACTTCCCCAAAACGAAGCCCTGAGATCAAACAGAAATCCTGACGAGTGAACTGAGCAACGTCGCACCCTATTAAGAAACTCAGTCCATCCAAGTCTTTCACACCCTGCCCCGCTACTCTACGCAACACAACCCCATGCACAATCTGCCCGCTAAACTGAATCTTATCTATATTCAGAAGATGGCCAAAGCATGATGTCTTGAATTGTTCTAATTGTTCGGCACTCAACTTCGCTCGAATTACAGCTAGGGATGAATTTGCATGTGAGCAGTTGTTCACCCGTGAGGAATATGCCTCTGACTCTGGCCATACCAGCTCCACGTTGGATCCCATTTCCTGAAATACAAGATGAAATAACGTGAACACATATACTACCACGTATTTGCACAATCACATTGGTATTTACACAACTAGTCAACCAGCACATTACAAATTTTACAAAGTACATGCGCATAGGGATTACTGATCACAGGCTTTAACATCATCAAAGCAATATGACATATTTTGTGCAAATACCTGTTAATGCAATGATTCTGTGAATTACAAGCAATAGCATGTGTTTTATTTATGGATCCAAACTCCAATCAATGGTTGATGCATGAGTGAGTGTGAGTGCAATCTAGGCAAGTTCTGCACTTCACACACATGACAATTATTGTCATCTCATACACAACACAAAATAAATAAATAAATAAGAAAGATGGTGGAAGGAAGCAAAGCAAAGCATCTGCTCTGCTATCTGCTCGCTAAGCCATTGCCACATCCTTCTTTCTTTCTAGCTTTTTCTTCAGTCAGCCATAATCGTCATAAATCAACCTTTTTTCAAATGCTTTGCACTTTTATTCATGAGTTTATTATTATCTGTTCTCATTTTTAACAGGCAAATTTAGTAACAACGGAAATAATATTTATTTCAAAAATTATATATATTCTAGCGCCAGAGAGATAATCTGCACTCTGCACTGCTTCAAATGTGGAAGGTTTTGAGGGCCTCCTCCAATTCAACACCATTACCTTATTCATATCATTATTGACATGTTATTGACATGTTATTGACTTTATTTTCATTCGTTTTTTAACATATACCCAAGCAAAAATTAACATGCAAGTGAAGCACAAAGAAGAGATGCCAAATCTAACAACATTCATGGTACAAATTGGGGAAAACGGTTACTCTAACCCTAAACTCAAATTCCATAAATTACTCACCAAATGCTGGTTATTGAACAATCGCAAGGTGTCTGTGTTGGGTCTTTGTGCGGCTTTGCTCCACAAATGGAACCTATCACTTCCAACGAATACGGCTTCTCTCCTTCCCCTTCCACTGCTTCGTCTTTTCACTGTTTCAGAATCCACGCCTTTGCTCCTTCCACTCAAAATAAATACTTTTTCACGGTTTAGATAGTGGAGTTGCGTTCAACCATCGTTAACCTTTGCCTTCAACCGTCGTTGCCCGTTGCCTTCAACCGTTTCTCAGAGCTTAGCGGTTTCTCTGAGCTATGAGTTTGAGATCAATGGGTTTTTTCTGTTCAAACTTTGAACTTGCCTTTTTTTTTTTTGGGACCAACTTCATGGCTGGATATTAAATTCGGGTTTGGGTTCCTCACCTACCCGATTGCACAACTTTATCCCAATTCTCCCCAGCCCTTGGATTGATCCAATGACTATAAAGTGAACCCCTTATAACTTACCCCTCATTATAGTCTGAGCGTTCATAAGGGTGGACGTTTAAACCGGTAACCGATTTTGGCTTGAAACGGATCAATTCTTGGTTTTTGCCACTTAACAACTGAACCAGAATGGTTATATAATGTTGGCCAACATATTGATATATAAGTCATTTTTCTTATGAATCTAATGCTGGCCTATTCATCTCTCCTAACCTACTCATGGTCTCACCCTCCCTCATATTCGTCACAGTCTCAAGCTCCCTCATCTCTCTCACGGTCTCATAGGGTCCGTCCACACCTTCAATGCCATTATTCACTATCTTTTTGAAGTAACGGATCCTTAAACTTGTCAACGATTTACATTTTGATCTCTCAACTCATTTTTTCCCTAGTTTTTGTAGTCTTTCAAAGCAAAAACTAAACAAAAATCTCATTTCTTTAATTTTTAGTCAAAATTTATGATTCATTAAAAAAAAATTATTCAAATAAAAAAATTAACTTCAACAATTAGACCTCATGGTGTGCAATCTAATCTATGAGGTTAATATTGTCATGTGGAGAAATTTGTTTGATGAGATTGACGATTGTTAGGTGAAAAATTAACATAATGAGTTTTGTGAAAATAATTTGAAAGCTCATAGTGTGTTAGTGTAATTTTCAAAACCTTAAAAATATAAACGTGGTTAGTGTAAATAACACGTGTCTTCCCATAATTCCACGCATTTTTCCCAATTTTATATTGTATGCCCATGTTAAAAATCACTAATCAAACTTTTTCTCTTTTTCCTAATCTACCAAAGAAAAAACGGGTCTTCCCACTAGTATCATGATTCATGTGTTCTACTTTATATGGTTTGCAATGAAGACCGAGCAAGCCGACACTTGTACCAATAAAATGGATTCAAGCTCACCACAACCCACACGTTAAAATAATCACCAAGTTTATATTGTCTCCCAAAAATATTTCTTATCAATACACACATGCTTAGGAAGTCCATGTGCACCTTCATTTCTACATGTGTTAATGTTGAGCTATATATGAACCAACACATCTATTTGAAACCAGAAAAATACATACATATACAAAAATGGTTAGTATTTTCATTTTTGTGTAACGAGTATCTACAAAAACGGTTCATTTTAATTTTCACCCTAAGCATCTGAAAACTCACGAGCGACTTAGTCCCGCATTAAAAAAATATAATCTAATACCTGAAAAACCGGAAATTAACCAAACAAAAAAAAATTAAATTGATCAAATCAAAGTAGTAGCCAACCTTCCCAATTCAACGAAAGAGTCCACCTCCTGCGACCTTACCAAACATCCTTTTTGTTTTGTCATGAAGCAGATAGTTGACCCACATCTCGACCGTCCATACAGAACCCACCAACGGTCCAGATTTCGCAACAAAACTTCCACATGTAAAAACGACAGCAAACCCCGTGGATATTCTCTTTCCTCCTGGGCATTTTGTCACCCGACTCATCCACCAAACAAATCCAATACAGACTGAGAGTAAGTATGGCGAACCAAGTCGCGGACCACCTCGAGCCATGGCGCGACCTCCACGGCAAGGTCGTCATGGTCACCGGCGCTTCGTCTGGCCTCGGCCGCGAGTTTTGCTTGGACTTGGCTAAAGCCGGATGCAGGATCGTCGCCGCGGCTCGCCGCATCGACCGCCTTCAATCCGTCTGTGATGAAATCAACCAGCTAACCATTACCGCGCCTTCTTCATCTTCTTCATCTTCTTCTGTGAATGGGCCTGGAAGCTCCAGGGCCGTGGCTGTGGAGCTCGATATCAGCGCCGACGGGCCAGCTATTGAGAAGTCTGTAAACAAGGCTTGGGACGCGTTTGGGCGCATCGACGCCCTCGTTAACAATGCCGGTGTTAGAGGTGAGCTTTGATTGTTGTTTAAGATTTTGCTTTCTGTTTTTGGTTCCTGAGAAAATTTTGCATTTTCTTGTTTTGTGTGTGTTTAGTTTAACATATGTGGTATATTGTACTTGGGTTTTTGGAGAAAGATAAATTGAGGTACAGGAACCAACAATAAGATTTAGGCTGTATAGGAAAACCCAAAACTTCCATTTTTAAAATTCGAAGATAAATTCAAGTTCTGGGATTTCCCTGATGCTTTGACTTGTTAAGTTTATCTGTATTCTTTTCTTGCATTATCATTGGTTGACTAGTTTTTGAACTCCAGAATGATGGGAAGTGGGCAGACAATAAAAAATTGCTGATTTTTAATATGTTATTTGTGAGCTTGAATCCATTTGAGTGCTACAAGTATCAGCTGGCTGGGTCTTCATTGCAAACAGAGTTCCATGGACAATGTAGATAGTAAAATGTGATAATTGAGTATTGTAAAATGTGATATGTTTGAGATGATCACATGCTGATGTTCTTTGGTAGTTTAAGATGTCGATTTTATTCTTTGTCATGCTACTGCACTTGATGTCAAATGAGATGAGTCAAGTAGGTGAAAGTGTAGTTAGGTGTTGATGACAAATGCAAACAAGGGAAACCTTTGCTTTTCTGTGTGGTTATGTTTAGTCCAGCACTCTCCGTGTGTGTTAGTGACAAAGAACAATGTGCGTCTTCCACACTCCTAGACACTCTTGCAAGACCTGAGTTGGCATATGTCTCGGGAGTCATTTCATGCATGATTTGAAATGGATAAAATTTGATTTTAAGCGGTGGTTGTTTTCATATTTTAACATACAAAAGGTTCTATAAGAAAACAGAGATAAAAATATGCATTAGGCACTATAAAACATTAGATAGTGATTAATTTCGTGCTCCCAAATTTAGTGTCTTAATATTTAGAGTTTGACCTTTATCACAGACTCACTGTTTGGGTATCATATTGTACCTCTGTGGCATGTCACTGTTTGTGTATCATAATCGCTCATTTCCATCTGTGTTCCTTAGGTAATGTGAGTTCCGCGCTCGAATTGTCTGAGGAGGAATGGAATAATGTATTCAAGACAAATTTGACAGGGTCCTGGTTGGTGTCAAAATATGTTTCTATACGCATGCGCGACGCTGATCAGGGAGGATCAATTATCAATGTATCTTCCATTGCAGGTCTTCATCGTGGATATTTGCCTGGAGGCGTAGCATACAATTGTTCAAAGGCTGGTGTAAACACCTTGGCAAAGGTATCTCCATTGACTTAACATAATTTTGTTAATAGCTTAAGAGAAAGGAATCTACTTTTTTTTTATCCGCTTGGCTTAGCTTGGCTTTTGGCCTATAATTGAATTATAACAACTTGAAGGAATGCACTGCCTCTTGGGGGTGGTGGGTGTTGCTCAACACAAGCAATAAAGAAGACCATTACAAAGTCTTTGAATAAGGAAGGGGTTGATTTAATAAGAAAAAATAGACTTAAGGACAGAAATGAGCCTAGAAGTATTTCAATTCCTTTTCAGTCTACTAAAGGAATATTGTTATTAGGCCTATGGGACACCCTCTAAATTTCCTTCTATTCTCCTTCCTGGTTTAAGGAAGCTTTTGATTCTTTGTCTTTTTAGTTCATTAATCGCCACTGTTTTAAATGCTAGAAAACTAGTCATCTTAATATGGTCTATCTTTTGTATGGGAATGGTTAATGACTTGAAGCTATTTGGCTTAGGCTGAGCCAAGTTACTGAGCTTTTACT